ATAAATAAATATATATATATATATATATATATATATATATATATATATATATATATATATATATATATATATATACATTAAAGTAATTTATTATATACATAAAGTCATAAACACAATGGAGCAAATAATAAAGTGAAATAAACCGTGCTTCATGGATTTCTGGAGAGAGCAACAGTATTCAGGTGTATTCAAATGTAAAATGGCACTGTAAAGTCTTCACCTTAAAAATAAATTAATACTAAAATAATAATCTTTATGAGTCTACTAATATGCTTTAAACTCATTTTTTAATTAATGGAATTAATGGATTTTAATATACTTGTTCAAGTTCACTGAAGCAGTACTAAAAAGTTATATTTAAGGGTATTTTTTATGTATAACTTCTACAAACTTATAATGCATAAGATTTGGATATAACACCTTTCCAATCCAGTTCTATGAATCTGAGTCTTCTATAATACACACACTAATTAATGATTTCTACTTGTCTTCCTTCATTATGAAGAGTAGGCAAAATCTGAAATGTAGTGGGGGAAAGAAAAGAACGTGTTCATCAGACGCTGGATTCGAACCGGGTTCATAATCGATCGTGTCAAAATATTTTACTATGCGCTTTACGAGCTACACTACTCAAGCTGCTGTCTATCGCGCTCTTCAGTTATGTTGTCTGTCAATCAAAGAGTGATGGGCGTGAATCGCTTAACTAGCTTATTACAACATGGTGCACTATTTGCACTTAGCCTAAATAGCCTAAAGAGATATGGTCCTTTGCCCATAATCCCCATTGGTTATAATCCAGCCCTGCCTAATTCCTTTTAGCTTGAAGGCGTAGTGCTAGGGGGAAGAGCTAGATAGCCCTTAAAACTAAAATTTTGCAAGACCACGCTCAAAACCAAGGGGTACAAAAGTTTCCCAGAATACACCCCCTACAACGGCAAAATGGCTGCACACGGAAGTCAGAAAATTCACAAATTAGTATTTTTTTGTCATTATAGCGAATTTTTACAACAAACTATCACATGTTTTAATACACTCATAACAACGTTTGTGTCACCATGCTTAAAAAACTATGATAAAACACTAAATTTCGCTATCTATAACTCCTGTATAGCAGTCCTACAACATAATTTCACATCTGACACTCAAATACCCTGTCAGAAAAGTCTAGTGGCTGGGAATGACCTTTTTTACAGTGTCTGCTATAACGCTAATGTTGTTTTTGTGTGTTTACGTTATTCAGTATGGCCCTGGTGTAAATGCACAGTACAGTTATGAGCTTGTTTCCACATTATATTGTTATGACAACATGATATTGTGGCTTTCAGTAATTTCCTGAAGATAAATACCAAAAATAATGCAACCGGAATAACTACAGCAGTTGCGATCGTCTGATCTCATATGAAGCATGAGATCGCGTTGACGTATGATGACGTGTGCAGGTGTTGTAGTGCTGTCCCACTTTTTTGGGCAAAAAAATTTGAAGCCCTTTCCCTTAACATTCTGTTTCAAGGGCCAACGACAAGGGATAGGGGTTAAAAATAGAATTTGGATTGTGCCCAAGAGTATTCATCTACAGTATAAGAATAATAAAAATAATTTGATGGTACAATTTTTTTATGCTTTTAAAATCATCACAGGCCTCAAAAAAGACATGCAAATGAAAACTTTTTATACACTTACTTACTTACGTACTTAACCACGTCCCTTCAACCATCAGTGTTGACAACAAACAGAAAAGGTGAGGTGAAGGAGTCTGTTAGTTTGTAAAAACTCTTGCCAAATCCTTTTTCAGATGTTTCTGAATGAAATGCCTTCTTTAATACATCCAATCAGCATGCAGTAGAAAAAAAAAACAAGCCACGCCCACTGTATTCTCATTTATATATTCAGTTACTTTAGGAACTGTATCAAAATATGAAGAAAAAAAAAAAAAACTGTCGCAGCTTCTGATTCATGCAGACTCTTATAAAGTACTAATGAGCTGTGTATCAATAGTTAGTAAAGTAGTAGTTGGGTTTAGGTTTTGGTTAGGATTAGGGATGCAGAATAAGATCATACGTTGCAATTACTAATGAACAGTTAATATTTTAATAGTAGGCAGGTAATAAGCCAGTAATTAATACAGCATGAATTTTGACCTAAACTAAAGTGTCACTGAGAGACTGACAGAAAACAGGGTTTGCAGATGGCCGTTTTCAGCTCTTTGTAGTGGCTTTTTCCAGCTGGCTTCATTTGTGCGAGTCTGTGCCGTATTGTTTGAGAACTGGCCCATTAAAACTGAGCATCTCTGTGCACCGGCTTTCTAGAACGCATTGCACAGCTTTAATCCTTTTTTTTTTAGGCTGAAGTTGCTTTATAGGCAAGGGAAGTGTATTTATATTGCACATTTCATAAACCATGGTAATTCAAAGTGTATTTCTCAGCGAATATAGACCATATTTTTTGCTGCATTTTAACAAAACATTTATTAAACATTTCATTCTCCAACATACTCGTTTGGGTGTACTTATATTTGGAACATGAATAAACTGCCCCGTTTAATTATTATCACACTTTTTGGACTATTGTGAACTGGGAATGATTGAATTACTTTCTAACAGAGGCAACATGTGCTGGTGAGGATTAAAGAGACAGATGAGAGGTTTGCACTGGCTGTGGGCTATATGTTGCGTGTTGTTTTTGAACCTAAATAGGGCCTAAATGTATGCTGTGTGTAGTTCTTTTGTAATTGGTAACATATCGAAGACTGTAAGGGGCTGTATGTGCTCATACATGTTGTATTTATCTATTTATTTATTTTATATAATCACAGGCATTACAGTAGACTATTTCGCATCATTGATCTGCAGTTATAATCAAATCATGTTCATAGAAAGGTTAGTGATGAACATTTATCCTAGGGCTGTGCAATTAATCGAAAATCCGATTTTGATTATGGCTTCTAACGATTATGAAAATCCTTTAATCGAGATAAACGATTATTCCATTATTTACCGCCCCCTGTCCAGTTCTCCTCACTTGTTGCTCTTAAAAGCGCGAAAGACCGCATGCTTATGTGTGTGCGGCGCGCAGACAGTCAGAAACATGCGGTCTGCACTTGGTCTCATTTGCACATTGTGACGAGCAGAGCGCAAACATCTAAAGTCATTAACGTGAGCACTTTAATGTTCAAATAGGTGTTAAAACGCGGTGTTTAGTGATTATTCATATTAACCCTCATTTTGTAATAAACAAACGAGTTGAGGAGAATCAAAAGACAACTAAAAGCGAAACCATTAAAGTGACAGAGCACAGCTACCGCCTGTTTTATCATGATTAATAAAACAACGAGAAAATCCCTCTTTGCTCTTGACTGAAGACTTTTGTAGCTGAAGTGTTTTTCTTACGGTGAAGATGCTAAAAGCACAGTTTGTTTCATATTTTTATTCTATTATATTTTTTTCTCTTTCCTTTGCAGGGAGGAAAATAATATATGCAGTTGAAGTCAGAATTATTAGCCCTCCTGAATATTAGCAACCTTTTCCCCCCAATTTCTGTTTAATGGAAAGAAGATTTCTGAACATAAAAGTTTTAATCATTCATTTCTAATAACCGATTAATTTAATCTTTGCTATGATGACAGCACACAATATTTTAGTAGATATTTTTTTTAAATACAAACATTCAAATTCAAAGTGTGATTCAAAGGCTTAATTAGGGTAATTAGGCAGGTCATTATATAACAGTAGTTTCTTCTGCAGACAATCAAAAATATATTTTGCCTAAAGGGGCTAATGATATTGACCTTAAAAGAGGTTTCAAAATATTTAAATTTGCTTTTATTCTAGCCAAAACAAAACAAAAAAGCCAAATATTAAACAAATATTAGAGGAAAAACTGTTAAAATTCCTTGCTTTGTTAAACATAATTTGGGAAATATGTTTTTTTTTTTAATTCTCAGGAGCGCTAATAATTTTGACTTCAAGTAATAATGTGGAATAATCGTGATTACAATTATGACCAAAATAATCGTGATTATGATTTTTCCCAAAATCGAGCAGCCCTAATTTATACACGAGTATTTATGTGTATAAAGCATCTGTTTTGTGAGATGTGCTTCCTGTATGATATATGAACAACGCGTACAGCTTTACTTTGACATTTCCTCTTAGACACCCCAGAAAACCGTCAAATAGAGCCATTTAAACTATCTACTGAAACCGTATTCATATTGCAAAATTACCACAGAAAAAAATTTAGCTAAACCTACTTTATGCAAGTAAGAAATAATACTTTATAACTGCTATGTTTCAGGGCAGCCCAGGACACTGCAGGATCTGTGCAGGATAAAGATCCGGCAGTGCATCGGCCTGCAGAGCCTGAAGCTCCTGGAAGATCTACCCATCGCCAAGGTCATGAAGGACTACCTTAAACACAGGTTCGACAACGTTTGACACAAGCCCACAAGACTCCTCCTGTAGGTTCCTTTAAGACTCTATGCAAACTCTCTTTTTCACTTCTACACAAACAAAAAAGCTCGGGGAGCAGGCGCAGCGTTTTGTACAAGCCCAGTGGAAATGATGCAGAGAAACGACTGTAATGGCAACGGTGATTCAATTCTTAACGTGCATGTTTGGAGAAATCCTTGACCTGTGAGATGATGTTTGATTTGTACCAAAAACCTCCTTTTTTCATTTTTTTTGTCCTTAAATCAACTAAATTTTCAATTGTCTAAATTCTCCGATTGATAAAAAGTCTTTTAGACTAATTGCTGATCATTTAAACTCATATTTTTGTATGCATGCCATTTTTTTGTGTGTGTGTGCTGGAGATTTAACGTTTATTCATCCTTCATATTAAGTTATTTAATCCAATTTGTTCATATTACAAAAAGGGGTGGCACGATACTGGAATTCGGTACCAATGGATACTTAAATTAAAATGTCCATTTCCCACTAACATGTTGAGCGCGTTCTTTAACACCGATTTGCCGTT